GCTGAATAAATTTGTCTAAGTGAGGGAGCAGATTCAGTAAAATAATACTGAGGTCCAGATTGGTTTTCTTGGCTCGTTTATGGAACCGACTCTGGCTTCTGCCCATTTTAGCTCCACAGTTTCTCAGATAAGTAAATCTGGGCAGAACATCAATGTTTGGTTTTTCACTTTGGATTTGAAGAACTCAGCAAATTTTAGGATAAAGAGTCATCAGGAGGTGCTGATCAACCAATCAGAAGAAGGCATGGACAACACTACAGATGTATTACATGACATTCATTAATGCCATTGTTTTTCCCAACCACATTATTGACTAGAGTCCAAAAACGTCAACGCTATCATGCAGCTTCCTGCCTGAAGCTGCATTATTCTTTGGCTTTTAACTCCAGTGAAATTTAATTTTAACTAGTTTTGTTTATTTGTTTATTTTAGAGAAGAAAAGAAAAAAAGAAAAGAAAAGAAAAGAGAAGGAAAGAAAAGGAAAGAAAGGAAAAGAAAAGAAAAGAAAAGAAAAAAAAGAAAAGAAAAGAAAAGAAAAGAAAAAAAGAAAAGAAAAGAAAAGAAAAGAAAAGAAAAGAAAAAATAAGGATAGAAAATACTTTACTGAGCCCCTGGGAAGGGCAGAGGGGGGATTGTGTTTGTCCCAGCACACAATAAAAATTAAAATAAGTAAGTGAATAAAAAATAAAGTAATAATAATACTAATAAGAAAAATGTACAAGAATAAATACATTTTGTAAATTTGCATTATGTTTGTATATTTGTAACTTGAAGATTTGTCCAGCACTTTGTTTCAACTGAGTATGTTTTAAATACTTTACAAACAGATGTTCAAAGCCCAACACATTAACTAATGCTTATTAATAATAAACTAATGGTTATTAGTTAATTAATAATAACTTAATTGCAGACACTGACAGTCATTCAGGAAAACTTATTTTCTGACTACATTTGTGTAAAAGATCATAAAAGCAGATTCAGACCTGCGTGGGATAATAAGGTGAAGACTTGTTAAAGGTAATGTGAGGAAACCTGTTAAAATGAGGTTAAAGGTCACATCTGTACATTCTGTGAACTATCCAGAAGTCATTTTCTTCATAGTTTAATACAATTCCCATTTCTGAAAACATTTAACTCCTCAATGTATGTCGCCCTTTCTGCGAATTCAAGTTGAAATGTTGAAATAATTAAACGCCAGTGTAGACACAATAAATACAAGAGAGGAAGCATTCTCTCTGCCTCATGGAATCCATGAATAAATTATTAACTCAGCGGCAAATCCTGACTCCCCGGTGGGTTCCAGTCCATCAGTTTTGTTAAATGACTGCAGCTTCTCCACTTCCAACATCTCAGAGAGATTCCTCTCTGCTGTATGTTCTGTTTGATCAAGATCAAGTTCTCCCAGTCTTTGCTCTTTAAAGCGCCTGAGGGAGCGACCATGTGCAAAGCATCTGTCAGTTTTTCTACGTTAGCAGCTAATTGGTTTGGTTAATCAGCCTTGAAATGGGGCTTCTGAATCAATAAGGCAAGGCCAGAGTTCACACCCGATCTCCTCGAAGACCAGCTGGATGAGAACGCCACCCAAAATAAAGCGCTCTCGCCCCTCTGTGTTCAGTTTATGAGGATGCTTGTCTTTCCTTTCTGGAAGATTTTTCTGCTCTGCAGCTGCAGACACTCCACAGCAAGAAGAGGAACTGACGCTCACAGCATCCTGTTGACCCCTCGCATATCATAACCGCCTAACGTGCACCTCCTTTATGTTTGTCCTTATCACAGTCATGTAATCACAACCAATCCAGTCCTATCACCTCCCATCTTCCTCCTCCTCCTCCTCCTCCTCCTCCTCCTCCTCCTC